TACTCCAGAGTGTTGTTCAGCATGGGGGTGAGTAGAAAATGAAGGCTTATCATGTTTTGGGTGTACTATTCCTTTAAGGTCTCTAATAGGGTGTGTAACATTGGTCGGGCTGAAAATGACATATTTGCTGTTCTATGAGCCCTAATTCAAGCCTGGTTAAAAGCCCTAGAATGAAACGACAGGTTTTCTTCTTTTATGGTATGATTATGCATATTTAAATGAGCTGTGCGCTGATTGGTTGGTTTACAACGAGCGAAGCTGCTGAGCAAAGACGCATCATAGCAACAAGCACTCACTTACTGAAACATCAAAATTGTTGATATGGTAGGGTGACCAGACGTCCTATTTTTCATGGACATGTCCAACTTTGTATACTTAAAAAAATGTCCAGGGGGAATTTCAAAGTCGTCCCGGATTTTGGACGACTACCATGCAGCACATAGTCGAAACACTGCGGGCACCGAAACGAACCATCAGCTCCGGGGCTGGACCAAACCCGACCCAAAATTGGCGGCCCCGTGCTTCTCCCCGCCTGCCTTACTGGGGGCGGTAAAGGCGAGGGGGAGCACGGTAAGGCAGGCGGGGGAAAGCATACCGTCATTGGGTCGGGTTCGGTTGCTCTGTCCCCGGCTGGCTCGGTTCGAATGACCGGTCCGGCCCAGCAGCACTTAGAAGTACTTAGAAGAAAACTGGTGTTATCAAACAAATACCTTCATAATTTCAGTCCTGCAGAATACCATTTACCCAAACACTCAACCAAAGCAAAACCTTCCTTTCTACAGTAATGGCTGGGTTAGAAACAGCCAGGCTCTCAACTCGGATGCAGCAGCTAAAATCAGTGTTTACTTTACACAGGTTCAGCATGAAGGAGGGCAGTTAGTGAGTCGGGTAAATGGTATCTGACAAGGAAAATGCTGGGATAGTCGTCAGTGAGTTCAAAGGTAAACTTGCTCTGAAGGAAGAAAACACATGAAAGATTTGTGTAGTGAATTTTTATTTTCCCTCATGCTTTACAAGGGAGAGGTGAAACGTTCAATTTGACTTATTTAAATAGGAGATATGTGTTTGTGTTTGACAACCCAAAACACTTAAAATGAGCAAGATTGGATGGTAATTTAGCAGTCTCATGCAGTATTCAGGAATTTTATCTTGATATCTTTTTATGTTCCCTTATTTTTTTATCCAATCTTTTTTAACTCACTATTATAGAAATATTTTGCTTTTTATTTATCAAGACACTGACCTGTGGTTAGATTCATGTCAGGTAGCAGTTCACAGAGAAAATGTGTCTTTTTATATAACCTACATATGTCAACATGACATATTGTTGCTATTACGATTAATGTATCTGAGTCCGTATGCAAAGTATGTACAAGAAAATAGATTTACTGATGTGAAATAAAGTTTTGGGAATTTCACACGATTTAGATTTTGTTCAGTAATCCTGTAAAAGAGTGTTGCCAAACCATAACCATCTATGTTCTGCAACAACCTTTAAAAATGTTTTTCTGCCTGCCAATATTTCCAAAATACCTCTCACACGATAACAGCATTAATGGATAAAAAAAACAATTGACGTAAGATTACCTGTGATATATTGCTCTAAACCTCCATGGACCTAGAACCCTTAGAAAAAAACTGATAAAATTTAAACTAAAATTAATTAAAACAAGAAGAGTTCATCCATATATAGTAAAAATGATGGGAAACACTCATGGGTTTCTGAATTAGAGAAAATAAAAGGGCGAACAAGTTACAAGACACAATTCACAAAAAAATCTCTTAAAGATTACACAAACACCCCAAGTGAAGGCGCTACCAATCATGGCGCCTAACAACTGTTTAATGAAATCACAAATATATAAAATGTATTTTAATTTTTACATATCACATATACATGTAATACATTTGTTATTATTAAAAAATATATTATAAAAAAAAAAATATTGTTTGATGCTGCAGATGGTCGACGAAAGTCACATCAGCCATTCCAGTGAAAAAGGATGCAAAATTGTTCAAAGATCTTTTAAAAACACAACATTTTACCTAAAAAAAAGTCTCATCTGGTTTATAAATAAAGCTGAGATCCAAAAACCATTATAGTTATAAATAAAACATTTAATAAGCCCATTCTACTCCATATCTGGGTAGTTTGAACCTAAACAAGGATAGATATGACAGTTGTGGTGATGGATTAATGCATTTCATTTTATAAAAATAACACCTCAATATATAGAAGCCATTCATCAATTCTTAATTGACTTTAAATCCCTTTTTAATTGTTTTGCCGCTTCACATTTTGCATAACAGAAAGCTAACCAGGAGAGTGCTCAGTGATGCAGTCCTGCCTCAGGGCCAAGAAATTCCCCAAATAGGCTGTTTATGAAATCATTTTCCACCTGGTGAATAAATAACTACCATATTTGCTTGTCTGTCACCTACTCTAAAATGTATACATTGCAAAAACTGCAAACAGTTTTTTTTAGAAATGTTTATGGCCACCTCAGCGTTACCCTGTGACTGAATAAGAAAAACAATGCATTCTTAAGGCATTATATTGATGTTGTTTGTGTTAATTTTGCATATGTGCAATATGGCTTACTGCCCTAGGGTGCTGTTTGTCATAGGCACATGAGGGCACACAGAAAGTCAATGCTGTCCATAATGGGAGCTCTTTTTCAATAGGAAGTGAGCACCGGGCTATGTTGATCATAAGGGAAGCAATGTGACAAGCACGCAGTCATAAAATATAAATACATTTAAAGATTACAACCATAACTTCTGTTAAACTAAATGATAAAGATTTTAAATTAAGCAGCTTTGGTTTATTAAGAGAAATAAGTGAAAAGTTTACTGTATAAATAATCAATCATTTTCATTTCTCACCTGTAATAGAATTTTTATATTCCCCATAAATTTTC